ACACCTACTACCAGTGGAGCCGGGTCCTATATAATATGATCTGTGCAGGCCTTGGCCAACTTGCTTATGAAGCTGTTATATTAGGCCGGGAACTCTAAAGCCATATGTAATGTGAAATTGTCGCAATGAACGCTGTTCAACGATTATAACGGCCCTAAAACGAATTGAAAATACCTAATAGTGCGCTTCCACTGGATTTGGCTTTGTCGTTTTTGATACGTAATATAAAATTACAATAACGGATGATAATAATATTGAGAATCGTAAAACAAAGTCAGGTTAGTTACACCATTTATAACTCAAGAATGGCTGGACCAATTATAACGATCTCTTATTTGTTGGATTCGTCCCCACTCAGAGTAGTAGAATAAGTAGTAATATTAGTAGTTACTACTAAAATATCAGAAAAATCCTCCAGAAAAGTAGGAAATCTGGATGTCAGAAATAAAACAGTAGCGCTATATTATGTGCAACGAGAAAATAAACTAAATAATAATATATTTTTGTTTATTGTAAGGTTGCTATTGGTTATGATTGACTATAATTTTAGACCTGTAGGGCTGTAGGTATATTAAATTTGGTCAGAACCATATAAGTTATTAAAAAATGTAGTTCTAAGTTTCTAACACTAATTTTTCAACTGTTGTCTCGGAAACCTACACATGCACATCATAAACAACGTGTTAAAAAAACATTGATAATTAAGTAAGCACCTCGCGGGGTCTGTAATCCACTGCGAGTGGATTGCCCACCTTGAAATATACGCTTGCATAATCACAAGCGTGTCACACAGGCAAGGGGACGGGTGAGATGGCTATATATAATAGAGTACGTATAGTCAAATGTGTCCTGATTGACTCACTGTTTTCGATTATAACTACTCCCTTTTTAGATAATTTCAAACTGGGTATATTTGATTAAGTTGTTAAACTTCTTAATCGGCTTACAGAAAATGCCACGGATTATACACCAGTTTTCTGCTGTGTAGGTATAATAATATAACACACTGATTCGGTATCCTTTAAACCCAGGTTATCGTTATATTAACAGTAATAAATCATCAATAGTGAATATTTGCAATCAAAAATCTTTGCAACCATAATCGATTTCAGGAAAATAAATAATAAAAGAACAAAGAAGGATCTTTAAAATATATTAATGTTAATATATTAATTGTTTTATATCATACAATTCTCGTCGATCTGTACACATAAAAATAATTAAAAAGGCGTGTCGCGAGAACTGTAATATAGATGATATAAACTCAACTCGGTTGTATTCGTTTATAATGTATAAGGTTAAAACTTAAAATATATAATACTGTATTTGGTTGCGTCGACACCGAAATTCAACTGATCTCAAACCCCTGTCTCTCGACCTCCCGATGAGCAGTCGCCCAGCTTACTTTAGTAGCTTTGTACAAATTATTTTTCTCGCACAAACGCGTAAACGACAACGAGTACCTTACAGCAAGGAAATTAAATTCAACACCGTGCCTATTTTATATTATTACGACGTTACTCTCAGTAAAAAAAATACAATTTACGGTTGTAATTATTATTTTATGAGAGAAAAGAAAGCTGATTAATAAGTACCCATCCAAAATGGGTCTTTTAAAATAGAGCACACCTACGAAACGTAGTGTTTGGTCTTTTGAAGTTTGTATAACAATAAAAAAAGTAATTAAAATGTTTGTTTCAAATACAAATTAACTGTTTAAACTGACCTTATATTATATTCTCATATGCTAAGACAGTATAATGATAATCTGAAAATATGATTCACAAAACATACTGCTTAAAATTATTACTCCGTTAATTTTTTTTTGTTTGCTTGCATGTATTAGCCTCAGTGGACCGGAAATTTCCGAAATAATACGTCAACCTATTATAATATAGTATACACACAACTTACTGATGTGGCGTTCAGCTATCGCGGCATGTCTGAGGTCTAGACATTATCATAAATCACGCGTCCGATCGATTTTCGCATACAGTACGACCGCCCTAGTCATTAGTCTTGCCCACAAACAACGGCTTACTTGGCTGAGTTTAATACGATCATAACATTTGTGTGACGCAAATGAACTGTTTGAGTTATGGAATCTCACGCGGAAAGGAATAAAATAGGTAATAAATCCGTTCGCCATAAAATCAATAATTTACTTAAATTTGTGTTATTGACTTTTGCACTAACTCAGTGCGTACGCTATGCTGATTAAAATGTCAACTGAATGTATGTATGATATTATTCAACTTTCCAAATAAACTTTTAAAATTGTACTACATTTATCATAAGAAAGTAGTAATAATTTAAAACCTATATACATTGTAACTTTATATTTTTTGGCAGTGGCTGAATTCAACCCATATCGAAGAAAAGATATGCATTTTTGATAAAATTTAAATTATTAACTTCTACAGTCATATTGATTTACTATCATGATATTATTAGATATAATTTACATTCATACTATATAATATCAATCAGCAGGAAAAAATACAAGTTTAATTTATTTTAATACGTTTGAGTTGAATTATCCAAGTTATAGCTGTATGATAAATAATATAATATATTATGTTTATTGATCGTAAAATAAATGTGTACATTTTTAAACCCTAATATTATTAAGCTATATGTTCTATAAAGTAGGTATAATATAATGGTGATATAATATATTATTAAGCGTGTGAAGGAAAAGTAAATGTTGAAAATAGTTTTACAAATTTAAAATGTATAAGTTTAATGTGGATCAATAAATATTATAATGTAACGATATAATATTTATGCGTGATTATAAAAAAGTTATTTTCTGAAGGAGTAGTAAGTGCTTGAAAGTATATAGTTTAGACGTTATGTATAAAAAATTGCATGGTCGGAAAATGTACTATGTCCAGGATATTATTTCAAAGGCAAGGGCACTTAAGACGTGTCACTATACAATACGTAGGTAGGTATATATGAGAGTCTCAAACGTTAATATCTGTGTGTTCGTATACATAAAAAAAAAGAATTCTGGAAGAGCTCGTACTGCTGGAAAACTCACCCCTATGGTGTACAACGACCCTGACCCATATAAGGTATTATTTATTATAATAATACAAAAAATAGAATTGTTTACATTTTTTTGGCGCGGATTCGAATAGAATATTATACTAAACGCATATAAGCCACGTGTGTTTCATAAAATCCGATAGAAACCGTCTTCAATGTTGGCTTTTGCTATTGGATATTGTTCGTCTCGTAGAAGTGATTTATTATCAAACAGCCACAATAACAAAAAAAAAAAAAAACCCGTATACAAATATCTCATATTTAGGCGGACAAATAATTATTTCCGGATGATTCGACTCTATACATTCTATTCGATACACTATATTTGTATGGTTGATCAATAATATTCGTCCCATGGCCTGTTGTATGTTAATTGACTAGACAGTAATATTATGCGTGACAGCGATAAATAATAGTCACCCCATTAGGCGTAATCAATATGAACAGAGTTAAATTCGAAATACGTTTGAAATAGATGATGACATATCCGCCGACATTTTAATACTTATCTTATAAATTATACATTTCAGAGGACGAAAAAATAAAATAAATTCTGTTTCACGTTATTCTTAAGTAATTATAGTGATTATTTGATTTAAAAATAACGCGATCAACGTTATACGCATCACTAATTATTTATTGACATGAGTAATGATTACAATTATTAAATTTAAACACGTGTGAACACTTTGGACAAACGACCGAAAACAAATATAATACAATAATTTAATTACAACAGAAAATATTTTATTCTGAAGTGTGTAGTCCAGACAACATTTGATGTGATCTATAAATTTAAATCAAAATCAAGTGGGTTTAAAATTATATATTGTATTTTTTTTTTTTAAAATTTTAAAACTAAAAATCAAATGGTCACGTTTCTTTACATTTTCGTAAAATTTCGATTCAAGTTCCGGTCGAAAATGGATGCGTACTGGTAAAATGGAAACTTGGACATTTTCCGATGGCACGTTATGTGACTATACAATACCAACTTGTCTAAAAAGTCGTTTTAATAAACATACGCCGAATACGTAACTACTTTGTCCAAGTGATTTCGCTTGTCGGGTCACGTTTCCTATCACAACTTTTGGGGCCGAAGAGAAATTATCCGCTTCGTGTCCCGATCGATATGTGATCGATGTGAAAACACCAAGAAACCCACTAATTTCGTGACATGTAATTAAAATATAAATTATATTAACCGTCATAATACAAAGCCGATTAAATCGCAGGGGAAAAAATGCTAATTGACATAACTCCTTTCATCAGATAAATAATAATATAAACATTATTATTATTAATATTCATCCCTATTATCACAACTCACAGAAATCGCTGAAAACGGATATTAGAGCAGAAATATTAGGTTAGGTATAAAGTTATTAATTATTATCATTATTACTTAGGAATTGTCAATAGTTTCAAAAAAATGTTTATGTATTTTTATCTAACATAAAGGTGCCACGCACCATTGATGCCTATAATTCGTGTTCACTCGTTCAAAATACTTATCTGATCAAAAAATTTGTTCAAAAATATTTAATTTAATTTTATGCCTATTCCTTGTCATTATTCTTTCAGCTGTTAACCAAACAAATCATTTAGGATGTCACGGAATTTTTCGTTTCAATACAATAAACATTTCAACTTAAATTGCTGCAGTAGTACAAGATTGATTTTGGTGTAGTAAATGTATACAAAATTTAAAAATCAGATAATAACATAACACAAACAGTCAAAAGATAAAACTGATGAGTGATGACTAAAAATAAAATAGAAAACAAACCCACACGGCCATATACGGCCATATTATACCTATTAAAATCATTCGTTCTACACGCGTGCTTCATAATAATCAGTCAGGATCACGTTTAATATTAGTAATATACTAATATAAGCATATAAATATAATATGAGTGGTATGTAATACAACGATTCCAATATCAATCTCTTACCTTTTCACCGCTGTCCGATGGCAAGTAGAAAGTCAAAACTGTGAGGAATGAAATGCCCATGCACGGTATGATGATGTTTACCGTGTAGAAAAGCGTTTTCCTTCTCATGGTGATGTTAAACGTTATGTCCAAATACGGTTCGTCGCAACAGGGGTAGATCTTTTCGTTTCTATAAAAATATAATTGGTATTATTTATGCTGCGGCATTGTTTACAGTGCAATGCATACTTTATCGTGTTTTTCTTATATCGGGTTTCGATTATATTATATTGTATACTATGCCCGTTTTTTGGCACGGCACGTCGTAATGCAATTTGGAGAACACGATTCGCAAAACCAAACAATTTTTTGATTAGAAGAGCACCGGTACGACGCAATATTGTTCATCATAATATAATTATAATATTAGTTTTTATTCTGAAAATTACTTTCAGGGGTCCGAAATACGCTTCCAAAAGTCGTTACTGTATCATGTCAAGTCAAATACAAAAAATATCTACTGAAATCATTTTATTCGTACACATGTGTCGCATATGAATAAAGTAGGAAATTCGAGATTTTACTTTCAGAAAAACAATGTTAAATGTTCACATTCGAGAGCAATGAACAATCTTTAGATCTTTTCATGATTAAACTTGTGTATAATAACACTTATATATACATAATATGTGTCCACTACACATGTGTGTGGTTAAGTGGGGTGGGACTCAAGGGGCCTCAGTTTTCCTTTCTATGTATTTTTGAAATCACGAAAATGTAAATGGCATTCACTTGACATTTTTTTTTCTAAAAGAACGCAAGAACGCTTACAAAACTAGAACAATAACATATATAGTGCTGCTTAAATTATTATTAGTTTTTCAAATGTTGCAACTTTTTTTTTCATTTATACTTCAATCAGAAAATAAGTAGAAAGGCTCAATAACAATGTATACTTATTATAATTGATTGAGCTTTTTATTTTTTGATACCTTACCATAAAGTTAATTTTCCATCTTACATAGGTATATTCGAAAAAAAATTATATTAACCTAACCTATATAGGCAGGGAGAAGCCTTTTAATTTTTTTTATTAATATTCTTTATTAAATGTATTTTATTCTAATCAATTGTCATAAAAGTTTGACGTTTAAAGATCATGTAAAATGTATGCCGTTAATACACTTAAAAATCAAGATTGTACAAATATGAAATAATATTTATGTATCCCATTTTTCCATTTAACAACATTGTTCTACAATATTTTTATGTAAACTAATATAATAATATACAATATTGTACATCGATTGTCAAACTAAATTCAAAGTACTAAGAATAACTCTGAAACATTTTCCATCCCTGAAAATTTGTGCTCGTAGAAACTAGTGAAACTACCTCCTAGTAACACCCAATGAATTGCATAAATAGAAATGAAAGCTTGTTTTTCCGTTTTTAACCCAAACAAACAAACGCATCTTTGTTTCATCAAACGTTTGACGCATACCTGTTGCAGCTGTTACTTTTTGCTCATTTACGGTTTCTTTTACTGATATTGAAGTTACTTCACAAATTGGCCACTCGCCCACAATCTACATATGTCACTGTACATTATGCTTATTTTTTACCATGCTACTGTTAGCCCTACTATTTTTGAAGAAAACATTTTAATACTTATCAAAATATTAAACTTGAAATTGATTACTCCAAAAGATTACAAAAATATCAATATTATCAACGTTTGCCATCTTACACAACATCCAAGTATAATAATATTGTATAGGTTATAATATTTTCACTTCAAACTTCCAGTGAGTTGTAGTAGACAGAACAGCAAAATAAGTATTTCGTCAAACTATAACGAAAATCTACTCTTCAGTGATGTTACAGAGGGTGATACAGTGTATATTCGGAGGTAGTTCCTTTAATATAGTATTATAATTAGATTATTTTAATACGGTTCCGCAATTTTCCAGGAATCATTATTAACGTACATTAACGATCATGGTAAATCCAATAATTGGTCGTGTTTGATCCACTTCTGATCCAACGATTATTATTACAATATATTATTAATATGACATCCGACTAAAATGTCATAATATAATACTATACATTTTAATACCGGACGTGCTGGATTTTGTCCATGGGATGTTTTTTAACCCCATATTGGTATGTTTTTATCGCAGTCGATTACACTCGTGTGTGAAACATTGAAAACGGAATAAAATCGTTGGCAAGATTATCATTGGTTGATAGTTGGTAAGCACTACGCGTTAGTAAAAGTATGTGTTCGGTTAATTTTACTGTCCGGAATAAGGTCGAAAATTAAAAATAAAAATATAAAGTTCAGTATTTTCACATAGTCAATATTATATGTCCACGGCGTTTACTATGAACAGTTTATAAATATTTGTCTAGTACGATTTATTACGAGTTTAAAAGACAAAGTCAAGTTTCATGCATTCATTTAAAGCAGTGGCTAAAACCTCGAGAGCCCCTTCCTATAAGCACGGCCCTGGTACGTATCGGTTTTTTTCTCTCAACGTTCGAAAAGCATTCAAACATTCGCTTATTATAATATATGCATTTCACATGAAACTTACCACGCTGTTTGTCGTGATCTGAATTGTAGGAAAATATAAGAACGCGAAACCCGCAACGGTCATGACTCTTGAATCCATCTGCGAATCGCTAGTTGCGTTGCCGTTCAGAATATTGAGTGTGACATGTGAGACATGAGCACGTATGTGTGTAGAAGGTTATCGTTACGTTTGTCACCCAAATGGCCAAATGTAATGGGAGAAAATAAAAATGGCATTTTCCAATCACACGCGTGATTATAGCATAGATGCAGTCATAGATATTATCATACCGTTATCACGACCAAAACAAAACTAATATGGAATACCAATCATGGTAATTTAGCAATTAAAGTATTAGCAACCGTTTAAACGTTTTACAGGTCCGATGCAAGTGGAAATTGTATTAAATAAGTAAGGTGACATTTTGATACATAAATTTTAATTAGCATCACAACTCCGATACGTTTTTATAAAGATAGGTAGGTAGCAAAAAAGATTATAATACGTGCCGTATTAATTTTCAATAAATTAAAATATAAATAAATCTTAGTAGTATCGAACGGTTACTACATTATAACCACTAAAATGAACAGAATACGAATCACGTAAAATAATATAATGAAAATATAGGTAATGGATAATGCTTATCCTTCTTATCTGCCAAAATATCTTCAACTTCGAAATATTACTGAAAGCAAAGAAAGTTTTTATTCGAATCGAAAAAAATGAATTTGAGGTCCAAAATCTAAGTTAACTACGATTCTTGACTTTTTAAAGCGTATCGTAATGTAAATAAAAAAAAACTTTCCGCCCCATTAAAATATATTCGTTTATTTTTCAGAGTAACGACAACAATAAAAATAAGTAATCGGGAATCTCTGAGCGTGAACAATTTGTTGTATTTTCCAAGTTGTTTATTGTATAAGTAAAATATAATGATATGTTATATTTTACATAATATTGTTATTAAGAATGTCAAAATGAATTTTGTAACAATATGCTGCTGTCACGTAATTTTATATCTTTATCATGTATTACGATTTTGGAACAATATTGTCGATTTATGAGCGTTCTTTATGGAGTCGTCTTAAATACAAAAGTGATAATGTATAAAATAAAAAAAAATAGAATAGTATTAGGTTTTTTTTTAGCGAGAAACGCGTCTATTTATCGCATACAATTGTCAGCCGTTTACTACGGCCATAATATAGTACGCTGTATAAAGCTTGTGTTTGTGACCCGTAGAAAGTGGCCAAGGTATACATAATATAGTGTACTCTTTATATATATAATATATATATGGATCGCGTAATGTTGAATAATTTATGAGTGCTTTTACAAAAAACGTGCGTTTTGATTCAGGCCACACTCGCAAGAGACATACGCGCGCGCAGACATAATATGCAAGTAATTTATTTTTTCACAATTTATGGATTTGTTTGCACACTTTCAATTATTTTTAATATGTTACCTGACCGCCGGTACTTCCAGTATATCCCATTCGACCGACATGTAAAATTCTGAGAGATCCACCCCGACGTCCACGATGTTCGAACCGACCTTTTCGTCCATGTGTCTCAAGTCTACCTGCAAAACGACTCTTATGCATTTTTCATTGGTTCCATTATGGTAAAAAAAAGGTAATAGTAATAATAAAAATAAAAAAAACAATTTATATTAACTCGGACCGACACACGGCCGGTTGGACTATGATAATGTGGGACGACATAAAAGAAAGCTACGGACCGACAGGTTTTGAATAACCTCGTAAGCGTACTCACTCACTATTTCAAAAAGTGTTTTGTTATTGTTTTAGTTTGAACTGTGAGATTAAGATTTTCAATAAAATGTGATTTTTTTTTCAATCACTCCACTAAAGGAATTTTTACTAAGGTTGCATTTACTTTATTGAGGGATTGGATTTCGCTATTAAATTGTGGAATTAATTACATTCATTTCAAACACTATTTAAATTGCCGAAATGTGTAATGCAATACGCTGATCCCATTTTTAAAAAAAAAATGTTTCTTATAAAAAATAAACGTAGTTGAAAGTTGATAACGGAAAGTTTAAAAAGTTTGTCGTTAAATTAGAACTTGGTGTTTTAATATTCTCTTATTTTTGTAATATTTTATACTAAACCTAAATATTTCATAACATGTTTTCACGTTTAAAATTAGTCTAAAACAGAGAATAAAATCAATAAATCTAAGAGTTTTCCATATTTAAATTGATAAAAACTATTCTAACATTTAAAACAAAATCGTTATTTTCTTTGAAACGTAATCAAAATGAAATACAAAATAATCTGAAATTAGGTGACTTCTGTTGAAACTTTGATTTTATTCCGTCAGTAAATAATATTATAATAATAATATTATAAGAGAATAGGAAAATCATATATTTGGAAATATGTATATAGGTACGTTAACCGATTGTTTCAAGTTATTTCGCGAAGTTATCAAATAAGTCTCATACAACTATTGTAAAATATTAATACAATTATTTTACAGCATGTACCTACGCTTCCGTCTGAAAACGTTTAACGATTTCCTGACAGTGCCATTATGACCGACTGCGTAGTGTTAAGAGAATAATTTCCTTTGTCACGAGTATAAAAAACTAGAATACAATTTAATAAAAATCGTTGACAAAAAATTAATAAGGAACTTACTCACAAAGTAACATAATTGTATTATAATATTACGATGGTAATAAGATTAGTTGATACCAGTAACCTATGTGTGTCAAGTCAAGATATTCTAATGGTTGCGAAAATTAAATGTTTAACACCGATAAAAATGTATCAAAATAATACTATGTTTCACGTATAAATTACAAAAGTACTTTAATCACGTATACGTATATTTTAATAGGCATCTATTATTTGACCGGATAAATGTAATTTTACCTGGACGTTAATATTACGGTGCATTTAAAACACACTAGCTGGGATTAGTCATAAGTAATTACTTATAAAGAGATATAATAAGTCGTGATTTCTTGACAAAAAAATGTATACCAATGACAGTAAACTAAGCAAGTAAGAACCTTATGTTAGTAGACACGTAGATAGGTGGGGTAGCTGGTTAATCCCTAGAAATGTTTTCATGAAATACATGTTTTCAATATGGTCATGTAAGATTAATTTGAATTGGTTTACGTTCATGTGTCCCTTCTTCCCAATCATTTTTTATATTCATTTTATTTTCAGCCCCTCCCACATTTTTTTTTTTTACTGTATTCCTGCAAACAGCTATCAATATTTCCGATTCGTACAATAAATTAGGCGAAATGATGAACAAAATGAGTACAAATTCAAAAAACTTATTCAAACGTTTTTTATTCACCATAATACATATCAGGTTATTAATATTGGGGTATATTATAAAATTCATTTTCTATTTATAGTCGAAAGACCATTTTATTCATCATAATATTATTATATGATAAATAGGTAGTAAGAATGAATTTGTATTTATTTTTTTTATTTATTTAATGTATTTTTGTCAACTATTTGGGCAACAAATCGGTTTTTTTTTAAGGGAAAGAATTTGTTTCGTTCCGTAGCTCTCTTTGATGATAATAAGTACAAAGAATGGCAAATATATTATACACAATGTTTAAAATCTTTTACAATTCAAAAACTACTGAAGCGTAATTACTATTAAGTACAACTAAAAATGTAATGTAAAAAATAAAATACTAAATAACCAACTAATACGAACAAACCATGTTGCTAAAAAAAAAGCGGTACACCTACTGAATGACAATAATATCTAGCTCTACTATAATATCATAAGTAGGTATTAACATATAATATTACCTATTGAAAAAAAAATGTTTAACACATTTTTCAGCATATACAGTTTAACACATATTAATTGTTCATGTCTATTTTTATATTTATCTGTATGCGTATAATATTTCAATAATTAGATATTAATTATTTAAACGCGCTGTTTAATTTTTATTGATTAATATTTATAATATAGTGAGTGCTAATTACGTTCAGGCTAAATTGCATTTTGTTTCTTAGGTAAAATCTAAATGGTCTCGACTCCTTGTGTACAGTACATTTTCTAAATTAATTCTAATTATTCATATGAGTAAGATCCGACATTAAGTTATGTAAGTATAATATTATGTACCAACCAATTTTGTGGTTCTAACAATGTGAACTTGTGGTATTGACAATGAATATTAGGAGAATGTGTGAATATCTCCCGATACGTGTTAAACTTGAGAACTTAATTCCTCATCACATTTCCTACCCCGATTATCAGATAGGACCCCAATGGCGTTTCGTAGTTTTTGGGATGAAAACTAAAATTTCTGACAGTTGTGGATGTTAAGAAATATATTTTATCTAATGATAAATAATCCAATTGGAGAGTGAATGAATCGTCGTAATTTATGTCAAAATTAAGGGTCACGAGGGTACTAATGAGAACGAAATATTTCAAAAAGTTTCCCGACCGCAGTTGGAACGGACCCACCAAAAGTGAACACTAATCATTATGTTCTATTTCCCTGAATCGTTAAAGCATTTACCAACACTAAAGTAGTATTGCAGAAATGGCAATGTAATATTTTTGGAAAGTTTAAAATGCATATTGTATTGTAAACTTACACATTGTACAGACACATATTATTATGTATTAATTAACATCAATAAGTACGAAAAGCGTTAATAAAGCGTTAATAGGAATATTTTAAATGCTTTTTTTGTCAAGATTTTATTTATACGTTGGAGTATCGGACAACCCTTGTTATCTGTTGGGGCAATTCTGTTTAGTGTGCGGTATTCTAATATAGTCAGCTTTATTTTACGATAAAGGTACGAGAATGGCATAATTTATTTTTTATTTTTTGAAAGTATACTTTATACCTACTTGACATTCTAATGTTGAAGATTACGGGGGCATAGTACTTTGCGTCTGAAAATGGCGTTAGTGATCGTAAGACGAGAAAACGTCGGCGATAAAATAAAATAAAACATGGATATTATATTATTATAGTGGAGGGTTATAAAAAATCTTTACATTTTAAAACGTCTCGTAAATCTTGGAAAATTTTTATTTGAGGGATAATAATATATTTTACAAAATCAATATTTAGTGATATCAATCGCGATTTTCTCTAGTAGTAAATATTAACAACAAATAATGCGATATAGTTTAAATTTAAATTACCTAACCTTATAGTCTATACGTAGTGGATAATAACTATTCGCTGTACCTATCGTATATAATAATTTATAGCAAGTTACCGGTTTTCAATAAATCATGTATTGGAATTGAAAACCGGTACCTAACTATAAATTTAAAAATAAATATTAGGTACTTACTAATAATATTTGTTAAATTTTTTTTTAATAAACTGCATTGTAAGACATTAAGATTACAAAGTTACTTAAAAACAAAAAAATATTTAAGTACCTATAGGTTACAAGAATCAGATCACTCTTGTCTCTTAGTATAGTGCCTACATAATTTACTATCATAATAATATTTTTTATTAAATTTATTCAATTTACGAACATTTGCTTTTAAGAATAAATTGTAATTATTGAATTAAATTTAAACAGTCCATGAAATATCATGGAAGAAAAATAAGAAAATGCAATATTTCACATTTGATTTGTTGTCTGCGAAAATACTACGTTTTTGGTCGTGTTCATTCAAACAAGATATGTGTTTGAAAGAATATAATATTTTAAATGGAGTAAATCGGAATAGTTCCATACACGAGTTTAGTGGTTTAGAGACCAAAGAGTTTCTAGAGTCTAAATAATTATTGTACAGCCACGGGCTGGTTCTCGCAAACTTTTTATCCACGGGCTTACCGTGTTAACATTGAGAATAAGGAGACATGCTACAATAGTACACAACACCGTAGAGCATGATGGTGAAAATTATGGCCACGCTGTTTTTTGTTTTTGTAAAATATCCACACAATAACCCACCGCCGTAATATCGAATTTTTTTCACAAATTGTTGGCATGACAGTTTTATACGAATAGTATAAATAATAATAGTGGGATAGGTGATAGTATTCTATACCCCTTCCGCCCATTATTTAATTTTGGCATAACGCCTTCTAAACCCCCGGCAAAGGTTAATTTAAAAAGCCGTTATGAAAGTATACGTTAAATATTAGCAAAACTAAATTTTTTATTTTTTTCGAGGTGGAAGTGAGCGTCAGTGGGACACCTATACTGGTTACAGGTTAGGCAGTATTTTATAATATATCAAATATTATTTTATAATATCTATAATATGAATGGACGGCGTAACATGGACATCATAATATATTATTATATTAGTCACACAGTGCGAGCGAAATATTACATTTCGACAACCGTCCATAAATGACGATTGTTCGCGTCGTTTGTCATCGTATTATTGCGGTGTGAACAACGTCCCGCTCGACAGTCGTCGCGCGACTGTGGATTTGACCAGTCAGCTGTGTTGACAATTCGGTGACTGTTTTAGTTGTTGTTAAGCTTCATATTATTATAATATGATAATTATTTATTATTCCACGGCGATTATATAATACGTATCATCATCGGATTTCATAGCAATCGTCTCCATTGCGGCGTGTATAATAATATGTACGATGTTCTCGTGACCCACAACCTTTGTGTTTCGATTACCCGGTCCACGGTATAGGGCGCGATTGTGCGTGCGCGCTAATAGTGTGCCGCCGGTCGCCCCAGAGTGCTGCGCGCTTCAACGAGCGAACCGCACGTAATTAGAACGGCGCCTTTTCCCTCTCATATTATGATACAGGGCGACCTTTTTTTCCCCGTAAACCAGACGAGATGCTTCTCGGAAGCGAACCAGAATTCTCAAAATATTATTATCATTTGATTGGTTTGAAAGTTTGACCACACAATTTTGTTATAATAATATACGTACTATAATTTTATATTCTACTGGGATTATCCAACCAGCAGTGTTCTTAAGTATCCATCGCGATTTCTAAGATATTCCCGATGATACAATCACCCTGTGCGCTCTCGGCTATCAAGATAATATCATTTAATATCACTTCCGGCCCTTTTATTCCGTTATTTTTCCACTTGGTTGTTGTTGTTTTTTTTTTTCGGCGTGTTTTTGTTTCGTTCACATATTGCCCGCCCGGCGGGGACGGAATCTTTTATAATATTATTACTGCACACGGTCATCGCCACACATATGCGGTAAAACCAAACACAGGACTTTGCCAAAACCAATAATAATATTATGTCGTCCCGGACGAATGAGAGGGAACACAATACATAGTACGTACGTTCGCTTTTGTTCGTCGACACGTTTTCGAGTGGCCCAAGGCAAATTTGGTCGAAGTTCACTTATCAGGACAAAGTTTTTGGACATCGGCAAAACTCGATATATTTTTTTTTCTTCATGCCGTAGAAAATTCTATTAAATGGTCGTTCTATTCTTATGGACTTGGTCACTTTGGAGGTTCTTTTAAATAAATAAAAATAATTTTACTTTTTCTCTGACATAAAAGTACAATATAACTGCTATAAATGTGTTAAAGTCGTTCTCAGTTTTTTTTAACATGTGAAAATAAGTTTAAAATGGGCCGGGAACTTATAGGCGTATATGCGTAATTTATTCCTAACGATCGAGTTAAATTTATTTTATTGGGTTAACGGGATACAAGGATTATCAAAATCCAGGGTTTAAAAGGAAATAAAATATTATTTTAAATAAACTGTGTATGTGTATAGGGATGTACATTATATCATACCATAATATTATAGCTGTCAGCCTACGGATGAATATTAAAAATAAGCCCGCGGGTCTACGAGTTACCCCCCGTGTTGTTTACGATATTATGTATTATACTCGATACCCATCCATTAAGTTTGATCGGTATTGCTGATGAAAATATATTGTCAGTAACATGAACGTTAAGTACCTATGGGTTTTTATACTATTACTATTATTATTATTATTATTATTATAGACGTATTATAAAATAATTGATTGTATCACGTTTTCCTACGGTTTCACACATTCATCAAGACTTATCACAACAGCGAAACAAAATGAATCCACCTAAAATTATAAACACACAAGCCCCGCGTACCCCTGGTTCATCGAGTACAAGTTTCCCTACATTTATCTAAAATGTCTAAAAAAAGATAATAATATTAAGCTACAATATAACATTATGTAATATATACGTGCACACAACTATATAATTTTTGTTACTAAGTACCTTTAACTACCGAATATACCATTACGGTGCGTGAAGCAAACTCTCTACCATCAAACGCAATCACTTCCCCAAGGTCAAACAATTATAATTGGACTTTTCCACATCGACGTCGCAGTATTATTATATGGTCCCACGGGGAACGAAAACAAAAATGTCGGTCAGAGGATTACTCGTCACTTTGAATTTATTATTAATATTCGAAACATCCACCAGCGAGTGGCAATCAAAATTAAAAAAAAATGAATAGAGTTAGGTACTATTCCATCAATTATTATACGATAATGGAGGGCGACCAGTCGGGGCAATAATATTAAAATTAAAATGTTGTTATAGTTCATTACGACTGCGAGCGGCACAACTACGGCGGCGATGACCTTGTAAGACACGTATCACGGCAATGCACACGAAATAATTTCTGTATTACGATATTATCGTGTTGCTGCAACACCGCCACAAACGGCATATTATAATATTATTATTAAAACATTATAATAATATGATGTTATTAAATCGATGAACCAGGAAGAAGTTTTATTTTTGCCGGCCAAGCGGTACATTATCATTGTCACCTTGAACCCGTCATACGTCCAACTTCCTAGTTTCAGTACGCAAGTTTGGACGTCATAGGGGAAGAACTCGACGTCGATGGAGCACGAGGACTTATAGACGGCGGGTGGCTGCCATAATACAAGCCCTGTACAGTAAACGGTCGCCTTTGTCATAAGGGTCACCTCGTAGTTACCGTCCGCACTGGAACAACACAACATACCACGTCTACTAGGCTACTGACAATACAACTGTACGCGGTCATTGTGCGCTGCGCACGTACCGGGCGAAATGCTCGAGAATAATGATTATGATGATTGCAATAACAATAATGGCACATCATGTATTATTATACACTAATTGACATGGTTTATAATGATAATAATAATTATTGCATATTTATTTTTTACGTTTAACTTAAGCGGTTCCACCACAAAGGCATCGGGAGACGACCATGTCCTGTAGCACACCGTGACCTATATTATGTATTATTAACGATGTTATGTTTTCGTCGGTTAGTAAGCCATAAATTATCGTTTTTATTTTTTATCTCCATTATAACAATTAGAGCATTATTATAGTTGTATAGTTTTCACGACAAAGCATGTGCAAAAACCGTCTTTATAGATGATAATATCATAAAATAGACTTTTGAGAAACTTTTTTTTTTAAATAATAAAAATCGTCATTTGAGAAATAATTTTAATGTAACCTAAGCTACCTACATTTTTTTGATACAACCTTATTATATGCACGTTAAATCTTATTGGAAAGTAAAATATGTAAAAGAAATAATATACTTCATTGAACAGTTGCTTAGTAGAAATTATTTAATGAACACCAAACTTTATTTGTTTAATGTTGATATAACGGTATTGATTTATTCGTTTGTTTGAAGTTGTTTTACCCTTTTCGGACAAATTTCACTCAAAAAAAAAAAAATATGAAAGAAGACGAAAAACCTGTATTTGGACACATTTAAATATGTTTGATAATTAATGTAATTAATAATGTATGTAATAATCTATTATTTATTTATTTTAAATGTACAGTTGTGAATTATTGTGTATTTAAAAATGTTAATTCATATCGTAAACATAGAATAAAAACCGAGTATGTATAGTTACTTTATTAACATTGATTGAGAATATTTAAATTTATAATCAAAATTCAATGTTTGTATATTACCAGAATCACTTCTTTTTTTTTAATATAAAGAGGAAAAAGGGTTACGAAGTTTAAATCGTATTATTTTATTATACTATTTAATCATTAAAGAATTGGATCTGAGAAAAATAAAATAATCGTTGAATATGCAAAGTGTATTGGCTCGATACAAATGTTTAGGCTTTTAAACGGGATTAGGACACTTCAGTAAAGATTTTATTTTTCGTTTTTAATTACATTCGTATATTTTTGTTTCGAGAGGAATGCCAATTTTCGGAGAGATAATCATAAAGCACAATATACTATCGGCTGGTATTCTCGAGCATTTTGCACGGACAGTCGGAATGGTAACATTAGTATATATTACATACACACATATTTACATATAGGTAGTTATTTTATATTCGCGCGCAGCCGGGAAGTGCACACTTATTTGATCGACATAATATACACTAAATATTACCAGAAAATTATATGGTACAAAAATAATAATAATAATAATAATAATGTTTTTAAATATTCAAGCTATTATATTATTATGTATAGTGCTATGGACGTGTGCCTACAAGCACATATTTAGTGCCACGTGTTATTACTTATTACTTATTATCATACATTCGATAGGCGTAATGTTTTTAAGTAGGTAAAGTAGGTATTATACAATACAGTGTACAAGACAATTATTCTTATGAAGAAGAAACATAATAATATTATTGTAGGTATAACGAAAAATACTAAGGAATAGATAACATAATAATAGAAATACGTATATAATAGTAGGTATCTAGCTTATATAATAATATATAGTTTTTTTTAAGCGTTTTTAATATATACAGCGTTGATAGATCAGGAGTCAGGACCTTGAGTCCTCGAAGGTCTTGTTTTATAATTACAACAGTAAATTATGCATGAACAAAAAAAAAATATTAATAATAGTAAAGTGTTTTGGTTGCAAGTCGGTTTGTTCGTGTGTACGAGTGCAACAAAAACAACAACAACATCAAAAACAACATTCAATAACAACATCAACAGCAACCATAGAGAGTATAGGTACAGTGAACATAACGATATGTAAGTTATATTTCTTTTTCGTGTATGGGAGAAAAAAAAAGAGAGAGAGAGAGAGTTTAATAACGGAACAACGAAGAGCCGTCACGTAGTAGACAAATATTAGTCGTCGCGGAGCGTGGACGATGCATATTTTTATTTAATAATATGTAACCAGAGCAGACAAATATGACTTAAGGTTCGCATATTATTATTATTTAGTTTTTTTTTTTTTTGTCCGGTTGCGCGGTAAAATTGAAACGAAGAAACTGCCACTGTAATCTTATGGCCACATGGTTGTGTGTGTGATGGGTTTTGGGTGGTGGGGGAGGGGGTACCTTGAATCCGTCGTAAGTCCAGCTACCGAATTTCAACACGCACGTCTGCTCGTCGAACGGGAAAAATTCCACGTCGATCTCGCACGACGATTTGAATATGGCAGGCGGTTTCCATTCTACCAGCCCTACGTGGTATATGGTCGCCTTGGTGGCCAGCGTCACGTCGAAATTGCCGTCGGCGCTGCGGATCATACACAATAATACACAAATTGCAACATAACCGTCGTCAGCTGGACTATGTTATTATATACCTATATATAGTATACCTAAACGGCTAAACATAAACCCAAATGTCGTGCAGTACCGTATGCATGACTTGCGTGTGTGAGATGATAAAAAAAAATGTATAATCATCATCATCATCAATTACAGAACGATTACATATTTTTTAAATAATATTGAGCCTAAATTACGATATCTGTTTTTTAATCAAACTGAAAATGAAACAGTAAACAAATACAATATTATGGTTTGAAATAAAATTGTTAACTTTATCTTTACGCGTTGAGAAAATAACACAAATTGAATAGGTTAATAACGATTGCAATCAACTTTAATTTGATTTATATAGGTGTAATGAAAACTGCTTTAAATTTGAAAAATTATTTTTGGAAAATGTACCTATTATAATTATAATATAGAATATTGAAGAATTTAATGATAATTAAAAAGTCATCGGCTATCTTATCAAACTCATAATATTATGAATAAGACAATAATTCAGTAGGGAATCATCTGTAAAAATATTATTCTTAGTTTTATATTCCAAGCAAACAGAAAGCGGTAACTATTGGTTATTATTAATAAAGTTTAGAGAAAAACTTTCATGTGAAGAACACTTATAAAGTTGAACAAGCAGCATTAACATTATAGATTCCTTTCGAAAAAAAACATAAATATTGGCTCTAGAGTCCAGTTGAAGTGTGCAAGTGACCAGAATGATCAACATTTAAAATATTAATACAAATATAATATAAGAGTTTGAACAGACATGAACGATGATATGGTAAAATTAAATTATTATAAATTTAAATAATATTTTATGAACAAAATATAATGAGATACCTATCATTGCACTTGTGTAATATAAAATATTATGTATACAAAATATTGAACGACAATATAAAATTGAGTTTGACCACCACATCTCGCTTGTAGACACTTGTCTACTAATGACCTGTCTTGCTATAAAATAATAATTATATACAATATATAATATTACGTTATGTCTATATATAAAATGACTTGCTATGTATATAAATAAGTCATTGACTAATAAGCCATATCGAGCATCGATAAGGTCACATAATTGTATCGTATAATATACCTTGTTATTTCAACCTAGTAATAATACGTGTGCACTAAAATAATTATTTTTTTTATTATCATCGCGCACCTAATTAATCAGTACAGACAATATTTAACAAAATGTTTTTTTTTAAATGTTCTTTAACAACATAATATTATTTATAGATACATTTTAATAATATTGCTATTTTAAAAATATTTTATCGTACACAATCTGCCACCGCTATCAAGTCGTAAATTGCACTACGCAGAAACAATAATATAATGGACGAAACTGTAATATGGATCAATACGATAGTAATATTATATACTCGCATTATCATTATGATTGGTGGTCAAGTGGACAATGATAACTGCCACGTGGCGATGATTATCCAGGTATTTCCTGACAGCTAATGTGAATTGGTTATTACCCGACTATCGTCAAAGCGCGTCGCTATTACCATTATTGTGACTCTCATAAATTAATGTTTACTTTTCCCCGCTTACTCTTGAGGACGTTACGTGTTTCAAATAATTTCGAATAAATTATACATAATATAATATATACGGCATCAACGCAAAATACTCGTATGTATCACAATTTATTATTTTGGGTGGTACGAATACACTTACAATTTTTGTTTACTTTGTAACATAACTCTTTGTTTGTTTATACGTAGTATAATGTTTTTCAGTTATTATTTGTGGAGACTATGTAAATAGTACACAGAAGCAACCGAATTCTACTCCTACTAAAATAATAAATAAAAAGGCCCGACTAAATATAAAAACTTTTTTGGAAATAAAAAAAAATATTATATTAAAATTATAAATAACTTTCAAATAACTAACTTATAGATCCGATTAGTTTTTAGAATATAGTGGTGTTTCATTAGATTATTAAATTAAGCACACGTATACGTATATCGTTTTGAATTTTCTAAAGTTACATATATATTGACGGAGTGCATTTTTATGTTTGAAGTACAAACCACTAGGGGCTGAACACTAATAAACGTTATGGACCAAAAATAGTCAGTGAAGAAACAGTTTTTTCTATCACATATGGTTAAGTTAGTTGAATTACAGGATATTATATACTACCTATATATTTTTATCGTTGCTTAACTGCCATTGATTTAGGTCTCTATTTAGTATTAAGTCCTGTAATCACATCGTTTTAAATAGGTCATAAAAGTACCGATGCTTATGGTTATCGCTTAATAAACTAAAATGTTTCGGATATTTTTACAAAGTTTAGTATCTGTTAGTATGAACAATAAAAAAAAAAAAAAAATAATAAATAACTTATTTATTCAACGTTAATTCGATGTTCGATGTTCGCAATACCACATTTTATTTTAAACTCAAATGTATGGTCTTACATACTATTATTTTAAGGTAATAAAAAAAATGTATATTATAAATAGTTATACACTTAATATGAAAGTAATTGACGTGATAACTGATAACCATGAGAAATAATATTATACCTTATGAGCTTAGACTCACCAAGTAAACAAAATACAAATAGTTAACACGGCGCTCTGTGTATGCAATATTGATGCGTCCACGTCTACATTTCAATTTTTAATAGTTATGATACCAACCTAGGTAACTGTTATTAAAAATACATTACAATTAAATACATATTATTTGTAAAAAATATGATAACTAGAGTAATTATAATTTGACTATTATTTTTTTACTTAATTTTATTACAATTGACATTGACTTACCAGTACAAGTTTATAATATATTTACATTTATTATTAATTTATACTTAATAATATTTTAGAGTACACCCATTTTTTTTTTTTTTTTTTTTGGTTGTGGCTTTTACAACTGAGGTCATTTGCCTGTGGAACTGTGGGGGAGGGTACTGTAAGTTTTGAACACATGTGTGTTTTTTTTGGCAGAATTTTTAAGTGGGCACCCGTAGGTATCTGTCATGCCCGGGTGGGGGATTGCGGCTTCCCTCTCCGGACACCGTGACTGCCCGAAGAAAAATGCCGCCCGTGGCGGAGTTCGAGGCGGCGACTGTGCGCGTCGCAACCGACGCCTAAGTCCTCTCGGCTACTCCGTCCCCCATACCCATTTTTATAATGCAAGTCTGCTTATGTTGTGATCTTGAAATGTTTATATATTTCAGGAATAATAAAAACACATGAGCAAGTCAAATGTTTAAAAAACTAATACAATAATTGTTGTGTAGATACAAGATAGTAAATTATAGTATTGGATTTTTACATTATTCCAGTCAACATTGATACAGCGTTTCTTTGTTAAATAAAAATAAATCAAAATTGTTGAGACTTTTTTTATTATTTTATTGCACTATTATTCAACGTGGAATTAAATGATTTTGTATTTTGGTTGTAACACTGTAGCAATTTTCAGTCTGCCTATTATCATTAAAAGTAATTACATAGTCATTATGATTTCAAAAGATAATTACAGCGTGCTACTGTTAAGAAAAGTATGTCGGGATAGCCTCCAACAGCCACACGTATATGTACATACACATGTACCTACAACAGAACAAAACCATAATAAAGGGCATTTTTCGTTCAAGTAAAGCTATTGAAGCAACCACTTATTATTTCTAAACTGGAATTCACGGGATGCCAATTTCTGAAAGAATACCGGATTTCAATAATTCATGGTTAACCACTACAGTAAAAGTGTTTTACTTATTTTAATTATAAAACTGTTAAAAGTTTCACGAAATGTGATTTTTATAAGTCGAACACGTAATGTTTACTCCTACGCAAGCCTGTACGTAGCACGAGTTTTTATATAATACTGTAAATTTCGTTTCGTATAACTACTTTTAAATGTAAAAATATTTGAGTTAAAGGTATTATTAAATATTTTAACATAAATATATTTTTGGGCTGGGTGCAGATATTTTATTTTTCTAACCAATTTTGAAAAATAGATGTTTTCTTTGTCATGGTTACTTATTACCGAAAACATATTCATGATTTATAGATCGATTGTAGAGGAAAAATATCGAGTAGCTATTAGCCTATGGTTTTTATTTACTTATATACCATACATATTGAATACTATCTTTTTTTTTTTTAATAAGGCAATCTATACATAAATGGTACAGATGTACAATAAGCACAGTGATGAAAAAATAATAAAATATTACAATGCTAATTTGTTGAAGAAACAATCCAGCGACAGCAAATACTACCTATATCTGTTAATTTAAAACGATATGCATTCATTATTCAGAAATATAATTTATTTTTATATGGGTACCAAGAACATTAATTAATCTGTACATTTAAATATTTTATGGCTAACACAATATATAATATATTTTTTTCATATTATACAAAATATGAATACGATTTTAATTAATTTACGTGATATATTAATCTTATTTTATCAACCATTTAAGTCAAACAATATTTGAGAATTAATATAAAAAGTTTATAAAATAAATTTAATAATTTAATTTAAAAGTTCTGAGATCAAATACTTAGTATATTGTTATTAACGATAGCATTTTGACGAAGCGTGATTTCCTAGTAAACTGATCAAAACTTTAAATCTAATTTCGTGTTATTATCAATTATATTGTAGTTGAGCACAAACTTTAAGTTTTACAGTAGGTGGCAATATGACAGATTTTTCCCAATACCATACCAAATTCTAAATTTATAATTAAAAAAGATTCATCACAGAAATATCCTGAATACTAACAATAATATTTAGAAAAATGTATTATTTTTACATTAATCGATATTTAGATGACAATGTACCCTAAAAGGGTTATTACAGCATGTATATAATATATGTTACAATATATCTGTAATTATTAATGATGGATTTTAACTTTAAAAGTCAATTATTACATATTTTATTAAATGCAAGATACATTTCCC